AGCCCGGGCAACACAGTGAGACTCTGTCTCAAAAAAAAAAAAAACAGAAAAAAACCTTATTTTTAAATGTTTTTAGGAATAGGGAAAGGATTTATAGAAAGAGTGCTTAGCATTAAATAAAAAAAACAAGCTTAATTTTTTAAAAATGACATCTTATTAGGTGACATTGTGAGACTCTGTCTCTTTAAAAAAAGATAGCCAACGCTCCTTACCAGAAAAACCATTTAATCCATCTACTTAGCCATTACTGTGTATTGACTGCCTGAATCCACAACCAGCTTTACAAGAAAAAAAACTAAAGAAAGGAATACCATTTTTATTAGCACATAAAATCTTACAAAATAGCAATCCTACTTGTGTATTTTTTGGCATAATATATTCAGTAAATAGCCTGTAGTAATGGTGATGTAAAAAGAATAACTTGTACCTACTAAATAACGTGATTTTTATTCCTTTCAGCTTCGTCCTCCTCAACCTGCAGTTTACTTGTTTGTTTTAGATGTGTCTCATAATGCGGTCGAGGCCGGATATTTGACAATTTTGTGCCAGTCACTGTTAGAAAATCTAGACAAGTAAGAATTTTTTTTTTACTCATATTTGTGTGTATGTATGAATATAAATAGGAAGTGTTTATTACCAATTTATGCGGCTGGTTTTTATTAAATTTGATTATATTCATCCATCAACTAAAGGGTACTTCTTGTCTACGATAGAGTAAGGATCCTGCTACTTGGATTATTATGATTGATGACTTGGTATCTGAATCATAAAATCATAAAAGTTTAATATTTAGTCAGGAACTTAGATCTTTTCTAACTTATCCCTCTGACTTAGCCGATCTGAACACTGAGGCTCAGAAAGTCTAACTTGGCCTGAGTGTCAGGAATTAGATGAGACTATTATCAAAAAAACAAAAGATAACGAGCGTTGGCAAGAATGTGGAGAAAAGGGAACCCTTGCAAACTTTTGGGAATTTAGATTAGCACAGTCATTATGGAAAACAGTATGGATATTCCTCAGAAAATTAAAAGTAGAATTACATATGCTCCAGAAATCCCACTGGGTCATATGGTGATTCATGTGGAAATTACTATGTTGAAGAGATATCTGCACTCTCATGTTTATTGCAGCATTCCTCATAAGAACCAAGATATGTAATCAACCTAAGTGTCCAATCAGTGGCTGAGTGGATAAAGAAAATGTGGTATACACACAAATGGAATACTCTTCCACCTTTAAAAAGAAAAAAATTTTTGTCATTTGTGCTGCCATGGATGAACCTAGAGGATAAATAAGTGAAACGGGACAGACACAGACAAATACCACGTGATCTCACTCATATGTGGAGTCTAAAACACTTGAGCTCATAGAAGTAGAGAGTGGAATGGTTGTCACCAGGGGCTAGGGTGGTGGCAGTAGGGTGGAGGATTGGGGCGATGTTGGTCGAAGGGTACACAATTTCAGATAGGAGGGATAAATTCAAGAGATCTGTTGTACGACATCATGACTATAGTTAATAGCAATATATGATACTCTTAAAAAAATGCTAAGAGACTAGATTTGAAGTGTTCTCACTGTGAAAATAATAACTATGTGAGGTAGTGCGTATGTTCATTAGCTAGATTTAGCCATTCAACAGGGTTTATATATTTTAAAACGTGTTGTACACGATAGATACATACAATTTTATTTGTCAATTTAAATAAAATAAA